GTTAAAGTTTTCCAAATGCCATAAAGTGGGCGATATCGTTATAGGGGTGCAATACTAAAACGACGAATATTTAGAGGTGTTACAAATGGAACGACAAAGTTAATACACCGTTCTTTTCATAGTGGAGAATATAAAAATGTGTAAGACTAATTTTGTTTACAAAAGATCTGTGAATATAACCTCGAAAACTTAGAGTAGTAAAAAATTGCTTGAAATGACTTCGGTTATTAGTCGGCTAAATCATGAATAACAGTTTAGCAAATAACTTCTCTCTTTTTCCCTAGATTCTTATCATATTACCAAAAATTCATCTCGTAAAATAATTGGGAGGGAGAAAAGATAGACATCACAAGTGCTCACAACATTTTATTTTTTCCAGGAAAAACTCATTTGCAAAATTAAAGGGAGTTGGCATAAAGTTCGAAATATTGCTAAGAAAAAGCAAACACATTTATCTCGAGTGAACATTCCTGCAATCATAACACATTGAGGAGAAATGACTGAGAAGATGGCAACGGCGTTTAAGGGTCTTTTTCGTACCTTGTGTACCCTATCGTTAAGCCAATGTGAAGTGTTTTCGTTGTTTTTTATAAAAACTAAGCAACATAAATCAATTAATTTCCAATATTAGTATTCAAAATTGTAACACATTTCGATAAGTCTGTGGAGCAACATAAAATTTGAAAATACGAAACTAAACAGTCAGATGCACCCAGGTTTCTTGGCAGCTTTCTTATGCCCTTCACCATACATAGTATGGAGGGTATATTAAGTTCGTAATTCCGTATGTAACTCATCGAAATAATTTTAGACCGAAGAAAGTATTCTTGATCAGCGTAAAATTCTAAGACGATTTAGTCCTGGTTGGGAGTTTGAAAACAGAAAACAATCCTTGGTATTTTACACACTCCTGCAAGTTTAGCAGATTTGCTTGCACAAAAAAATATTAAAACAAGTAAGCAAAGGCTACAGTCGAGCGGGGCCGACCGTTGAATACCCTACAACACTATAATAAACGATACAACGAGATACTCGAAAGAATTCCACAAGATATTGTGACAAATAATAAAAGAAAACCAACAGGTTTCGTTCTCTAATTTTCAAATAATAGCAACTTAAACTAATTTAAATGGTCTTCCTAGATCTGGAACCAATAATTCCCAAATACCTATAATCTCTCAGAAGTGGCAAAAGATTAACATTTATTATTGGTTTTTGACTGAAACGCATATATATGAGATACAGCCATTTGACTATATTCTTCAACGAAATCAGCGTTAACGAAATAGTCAGAAGTGCGTCTTTCCTGTATTTGTGAATTCTCCAAAAAGACACTGGAATGGACATTTTCGTATTTTGCCTACAAAAGTTGGCAAACTATTTCCCACATTGAATATTTTTGGATGGCCATCCAAAACTGCTTGGCTTTTGCAATGTCCGGTAACCCCCATTCAAATGTGCGTGAGGATCGGGCGATAATTACGACCTGCCGACAATTTTGCAGTTTTTTGGTCCATTTCAACCCCTAAATATATGGCGATCATCTCCAAAAAGAGTAGGCTTCTATTCTGACCCTCATCTTATCCCCATGCAAAATTTCGTAAGGATCGGCTCATAAATGCGATCTGTATATGATATCCTGATATCCTAACTACTTAGTTTTGTTAGCTGTAAAAATATTACCAAATGTTTAATTCAAAATGAAAATATGCCAAATATATGACAAAATTGAAAAAATATGAGAAAATTTTACAAAATCAATATTTTCATCATTAGAGAGATATTTTTATGCGATTTTTTTAGACATTTTTTCTTTCCTGCCAAGAGGCCATTCTGAATTAATGAGAACTGTCGAACTCAGTTCAGCCGTTCTCGACATATAAGAGATCTTTCAAGCATATCTTCTTTGATAGACATATATATCGCACATATTTCGCTATATATCCGATTTGCTGGATGTTAACATCAATGTAAAGGTCAGAAGTAACCTTGTCATGGCTTTGTGATTTCGCCGGTATTTAAAATATTCGCGGTTTAATGAAAAATTTCGAATTTTTTCAACACAAAAATATGGTCTATTTTACCCGCTAAATATTATCCGATGACCACCCAAATTGGTAGGCTTCTTCCCCGCCCTTAACTCTAGCGTCGATTGGTCTATAATTGCGACCTGTATAGCTACTGCAAAATCCGACATTTTTTCAGTATTTGGTCCATTTCAACCCCTAAACATTTGGCGATCATCTCCAAAAGAAATAGGCTTCTATTCTGACCTTAACCCCACCTTCGTGCAAAATTTCGTAAGGATCGGGCCATAATTGCGACCTGTAGCGTGATTACAAATTAACATGGACAGACGGACAGACGGACGGACGGACATACATAGCTAGATCGACTCAGCTCGGTGAGCTAGGAAGATCCATATATATTTTCCTATGTGGGAAATCAATATTTCGAGGTGTTACATAATTTTTGGCCAAATCAAACTTATAATACCCCCAACACATAGTGTTGTAGGGTATAACAAGTAAAAAATCGTTTTGATAATGAAGCTAGAGTTTTAAAAATGCCGTAAAGTGGATGATATCGTTATAGGTTGCAATACTAAAACGACGAATATTTAGAGGTGTTACAAACTAAACGACAAAGTTAATACACCCTTCTTTCCATGGTGGAGAGAATAAAAAAAGTGTAAGACTAATTTTGTTTACAAAAGATTTTTGAATATAACCTCAAAAACTCAGAGTAGTAAAAAATGCTTGAAAATGACTTCTGTTTTTAGTCGGCTAAATCATGAATAACAGTTTAGCAAATAACTTCACTGTTTTTCCCTAGATTCTTATCATATTAACAAAAATTCATCTCGTAAAATAATTGGGAGGGAGAAATGATAGGCATCACGAGTGCTCACAAAATTGTATTTTTTCCAGAAAAAACTCTTTTGCAAAATTGAAGGGAGTTTGCATAAAGTATTCCTAAGAAAAAGCAAACACAATTTTCTCGAGAGAAAATTCCTGCAATAATAACACATTGAGGAGAAATGACTGAGAAAATGGCAACGGCGTTTAAGGGTCTTTTTCGTACCTTGTGTACCCTATCGTTAAGCCAATGTAAAGTGTTTTCGTCGTTTTTTATAAAAACTAAACAACTTAAATAAATTAATTTCAAATATAGGTAAATATTCGAAATTGTAACACATTTCGATAAGTCTGTGGAGCAATATAAAATTTGAAAATACAAAACTAAACAGTCAAATTCAACTGGGTTTCTTGGTAGCTTTTTTATGCCCTTCACCATACATAGTATGGAAGGTATATTAAGTTCGTCATTCCGTTGTAACTCATTGATCAGCGTAAAATTCTAAGACGATTTAGTCCTGGTCGTCCTTCGGTCTGTCTGTTGTAATCACGCTAGAGTCAAAACGAGTAAAGATAGGAAGCTAAAATTTTGCACAGGTCAGTCTTTTGTCTGCAGTCAGGTCAAGTCTGAAGATGAGCTATAGAGATCCACGATGTGGTATAGCCCCCATATAACGGTACCTCACGATATTCGGTATTTCGATTATTTTAGCCACATTTTTCAATGGAATTGTTTTAAATTTCGTGTTTGACGCTTGTAATGGCTACTTCTGCCTATGACTGAAAATTGCGTATGAAGGTCCACGTCTTCGTATAGCCCCCATATAACGATACCACCCGATATTCGATATTTTGATGATTATAGGGACATTATTCACCGAAATTGTTTAAAATTTCGTATTTAAAGTTCGTAATGGGTACTAATTTTGAAAAAATTGCAAGTATAGAGGTCTACTGTTTGGCTTGTAATGTCAGAATTACTATCAAAACAATAAAAAAGCAAACAACTTGTTGCATTGATTTTGAATAAATAATTTAAAACCGCGAAAACTGAATGAAAGGTAAAAATTACTTTTCAAAATCATGTTCTATATATCTCTTATGGTTTATTCGTGACAAAAACTGTAGATTTTGTCGATGCATTCGTTGCAATATGCATTTTGAAAACACCCGAATTAGAATATTTTCTGAACAATTTTTTATTATTGAAAAGAAGGCACACACATAAGCAAATGAAGTTGACATATGAAGCCAGAAAAATATAAAAATTTAACTCATATGGAAGTTCTGCGATACCTTGAATTCATTTTACCATGCTAGAGCCTATGATAAAATATTACTTATGCACGACCCTATATTTTCTGGAAATTTTTCAAGTTTTATTAAGTTTTAAGTATTAAAAGTTCGGCCCAGCCGAACTTAGCTGCTTTTTTACTTATTCCAAATTAAAAGGACCTATTTGATGTGTTGCAAATATTACTCCTTTAACATAGTTTGATGAAAAACACTTTACTCAAATTAAAGGCCAATTTGGTTAATTTCCCTGTAGAGTTTAAAACTAGTCATGTATAGAAGTTTTTGGAACCGTCCATGGAGAGAAATGCTTGTTTATAATAAACAAAAATTAATAAATTATATTAAATTTAAATAAATAAACAATTAATTCCATTCATCTTGTAATCAATACTTCCTATTTTTACAACAAAATTATCAAAATTTTAACATTTTAACTGTATCTCATAGCCCATATATCATTCGCGGGGCATGCACGTTTGACACACAAAAACAAAATTTCAAAAACGTCTTCTTTTTTAGATCTTATAATATTTTCTAAAAAAAACCTAAAATTAAATTGAAACATAAGAGGTTTTGGAAAGTGAAAAATTGGTGAAAAACGAAAACAAAATTTCAATCAACTAATTGTGAGGGGGAAAACAAAGAACGAGCACCACAGTAAAACATCATTAGGCATCATAATCATCGTCATTATTATCATAACTATTATTATCAGCATCAGTTTTGGGTGCCAAAAAAGAAGAGAGGTTACCTTTAAAACAACACTATTTTGTAATGTGCTCGGTGAGTGTGTTTTTTTGTTTTGTTGGGGATGGTGGTTGTGTTTTTTTTTTTATTATTCTGGCTTGCAAGAATTTGGAATAAAAAAACTTTTTTCTTTTTTTAGGAAAATATGCACGACAGCCAGGCAAAACAGCAATAAAATCTGTAAAAATTAAACGAAACAGAGAAACAGAATAGAGAAAGAGAGAAAAAAAGATTTTGGTTTTTTTGAAAACATTTCCAAAAACATTTTAGAAGAACAATTACAAAAATAACTGCTAATGGAGAACTTCTCTAAAAAGATCAACAATGTTGTGAAGAGGACAACACTACCAACAACCAGCCAACAAATGTAATATTTGGGATTTAATCCAATGGGAAAAGCCACAAAAGCACAAAAAATGAATGAAAAGAAACCAACAGAAAAAACACAACAAATGAAAAAAAGAGAAAGAAAGAAAAGAAGGAAAACAAATTTGAAATGAAGATCTGCTAAAAAAGCCAAATAAAGTATAATTTTCCTGGTTGGCCATGAAAAAACAACAACATTGAACGAATGGCGGCAGGTGGACACAAAAGGATGAAATGTTCACAAATGATGATGATGATTATATATACAAAAGGTATTTGGAAGGTGGTAAAACAGGAAACACACAATTATGAAATAAAAGACATTGCATCGTATGTCTACTTTAATGCAAATACAGAAATTAGATGATCCGCTGTGTGGGAGTTTGAAAAAAAAAAGAAAACAATCCTTGATATTTTATACACTCCTGCAAGTTTGCAAATTCGCTTTAATGTTGAATATTAATTAAGAAATTGAAATATTAATTTGTAAATAAATGTAGTTAAAACTAATGCAATGCCCATAACAATATTTCAAATAAGGCGACGCGCAGTCGGGAATGTTTTGAATAAAATTCATTTTTCGGAATAACTGTTTTTGCCCTACTATAGAATATAAAATCCTAATTCATTACTGATATTTTCAAGTCATTCGTTGTTAATTTCTAATTATACCGTTTTAAAATTCAAATACTTTTTTTCTTTTTTACTTCGAGATGGAGCCAACTTCCACAAAATAGAAACGTACGTCCCGAAATTCACTCCATTTGGGCAGATATTAGAAATTATTTGCACAATGAACCTGTAGTCGGATTAAGGATATATATGGGAGCTTTATCCAAATCTTAGCCGATCTCGATAAAATTTGCAAAGGTATTTCCGAGCTCTATAAGATATGTGGTACCAAATATTATTGTTGTCGAATGCATATTACGAATTTAAGGGATTTAAACACCAAATCGGATGAAATTTTTTATATGCGAGCTATAGTTATATCTGAACCGATTTTCACCAAATTTGATGTACTTGCGTCTAGACTAAATTTGGTAGAATGCGCCAAAATTCAGCTCATTTGAACTTATATTGGCCATTTGGTGCACAATTAACCCGAAATCAGTTAATGATATATATGGGAGCTATATCCTAATCTGAACCGATCTTGATAAAATTTGGCAGAGGTATTTCTGAGCTGTAGGTGATATATTTTCCCAAATATCATTGTTACAGAATCCATACTACGGGTGCGCAGGACAAAAAGAACAAATCGAAAGAACAATATATACGGGAGCTATAGCTATATCTGAACCGATTTTCACCAAATTTGACATACTTATTTCTAGGCTCACTTTGGGCGTAACTGCCAAATTTCCGAGCTATATTTGATATTTCCCCCAAAATTTCGTTGTTACAGAGTACATATTACGGCTGGGGAGTGCAAAAATAATAAATCGGATGAACAGCATATATGGCAGCTATAGCTATATCTGAACCGATTCCAATCAAATTTGGCATACTTATTTTTAGGCCTAATTTGGACGTATGTGCAAAGTTCCATTTTATTTGGGCTTATATTACACGTTTGGTGCTATATCTAAGTCTTGACCGATTATGTCCAATTTCAATAGGGTTCGTCCTCGGGCGAAATAAATTATTTAGGCAATATATCAATAAATGCGACCTGTACTATGGGTCTAATTCGCTTCGTTCTCCATGTTACAAACAAATGCACAAAGACACAAGACACAATCCTTACCGCTATATGGTGTAGGGTATAAAAATAAATTTTTGCCGCTATGTGTACATTTTTCAATACCAAATATCAAAGAGGAAAGTTTGGGTTCTATTTTGGAAAACAGAAGAGAAGCCGGCTTGAAATGGCTTAGGATTTTATGTTGAACAAGTATATGGTACGACGAATATGTCGTCGAGGTTTTGCTAGGGCAATAAAGAACTCACAATAAATTGATTGAGCAGTCATTTTTTAAATGAATATGTGAAAAGAGATTCAAGTCCGAATTGTACAACATTTTTTTATTTCAAAACTTCTTTAAGGCTCGATCTTTCATGGACAATTTCCGATGTCGTTACCTATGCCGAAATTGTGTCAAGTGTTGGCTGGACAACTACGTTAATGGTAGGAAAGCTCTCATCGAAACCGAAATGAGTGTAAGACAAGGCGTACTCGTTTTGCAAGCTTATTTTCTTTTTGGTCATCGTACTGACTTCTGACAAGTCTCTTCTTAATAAAATTTAGAAAACGACATGGAATTTTAATTGAAATGATCTAAAACAATATATATTTAAATAAAAAAATAAAACAATACAACTTGTTTTTGTGTTTCGAAATTACAATTACAAAATAAGTTTAAACCAATAAATAATGTTAGTGAATATCAATAACCTTTAGTTTTCTAATTGTATAATATTTTTTTCAACATTGTCCTATGTGGATGTGGGGGGAGGGTTGGGTTTAAAGGTCTGCATGAAAGAGGGCAAGAATGGTGATGGCTCTACAAAAAGTCTGCTATTTGTTTAGAATCATTTCTAAATTGTTTAATATCTATTCTACTTGTTGTTGTTGTAATATTCAATTATTTTTTAATATTTTTTTAAGTCTCTTCAACACTTGATTTTGTTATGGTTTCAGTTTTGTTTTTTATATTATGTTACATAATAATAAACTCTACATATATGCCTATGTAAAATCATGGTATTTTTTTATTTCAATTTTCAGTTTTTTACTTTTTATTGTGGATTTTTAAATATTGATTGCTAAATGGAAACAAACAACCACTTAAAATGCTATTTATAAAAAACGTTTTGATAACTATTATTATTAATATAAATGTGTTATGGGTTTGTTGTTTTAAAAATGTTATTTTCGTTTCATTTTTATATTTCTTCAGTGACAGTGCTGCTGCTAGTGATTGAAAGTCAAGGTGACTTGGGAAACCTCTCTTTAAATCTTGAGGAGTTTTTAAATAATGAAATTGTATTTTAAGTTAAAATTAATTAAAGGAAATTAAATATTTGGGAAGGATTGGAGCAAATGAAGGCATTTTTCCGGACACTCTCCCTCTTTCTCTCTCTCTTAACCCACTAAGTTTGATTTAATTTCATGAAAATGTTCAAAGGAAAGTTTGGAGCAGATGAATGCATTCTTCCGGTCTCTCTTTCTCTCTCTCTCTCTCTCTCTTAGTTTGATTTAATTTCATGAAAATGTTCAAAGGAAAGTTTGGAGCCGATGAATGCATTCTTCGAGACTCTCTCTCTCTCTCTTTTTAACTCACTTATTTTGATTTAAATTCATTAAAATTTTCAAATTTGTTTTATGGCAGATACTGGAAATTATATTGATAAGAAAGTTGAAGTTTTTTGGTAGAGAGGGAGAGAGCCACGACAAAACAATATTTTTCTTATCCTGCTCCGGTTTTCCTATAGCCAAGACACCTTGCAGTGGCTGGAAGAGTAGTCAAGACCATAGACACGAACGAAAAAGATCTAATCCTTGGCTTGGCCCTGATCCGGAGTAACATTTCAACAAGACCCTCATTTTGATGATAATCAGATATAAGCGTCTATTGCATGACCCAAACCAGAGGGAGAGGAAGCCACGTCAAAACATTATTTTTCTTATCCTCCTCCGGTTTTCCTGTATGCAAGACAATTTGCAGTGACTGGAAGATGAGTCAAGGCCACAGACGCGAGGGAAAAAGAACTAATATTTAGCTTATCCTGGATCCGGAGTAAAATTTCAACAAGACCCTCATTTTGATGATAATCAGATATGAGCGTCTATTACATGACCCAAACCATAGACCCATAGTTGCTTTTGAGGAACTTCATAGAATCACTTTGTGAGTCGATTTATGTATGTCAGTCTGTCAGTACGTCTGTCCATGTATTCTTGTGAACAAACTGCAAGTCGCATTTATTATCCAATTGAGATGAAATTTTCCAAACAATATTTATTTGGGCCAAGGATGATCTAATTTGAATTTGGTGATAATAGGATCAGATTTAGATATAACTCCCATATATTTCTTCAAGCGATTTCGGGTTATTTTTGCACCAAATTGCCAATATATGTCCAAATGACCTGAATTTCGGTACATATGACCGAATTCAGTCTAGAAGCAAGTCCATCAAATTTGGAAAAAATCGGTTCAGATATAGCTATAGTTTCCATATATAAATTTTTTTCCGATTTCGTGTTTAAGTCCCTCACATGCGTAATATGCACTCCACATGAAATAGTCGTAATATGCACTCTGTCAAATTTTATCGAGATCGGTTCAGATTAGGATATAGCTACCATATATATTTTCAACCGATTTCGGGTTAGTTGTGCACCAAATGGTCAATATAAGTATAAATGACCTGAATTTTGGCACATCCAACCGAATTCAGTCTATAAGCAAGTACATTAAATTTGGAGAAAATCGCTTCAGATATAGCTATAGCTCCCATATATATGTTTTATCCGATTTGGCGTTTTAAGTTCCTCACATGCGTAATATGCACTCCACTAGTATGATATTTGGTACCAGATATCATATAGACCTCGGATATACTATTGCCAAATTTTATCGAGATCGGTTAAGATTTGGATATAACTCCCATATATATCCATAATCCGTTTACAGGTTTATTGTGCCATATTTGGCTAATATCAGTCCATATGGAGTGAATTTCGGGACGCATATTTTCATTTGGTTTAGCTCGGCACCGATATATATTTTTTAATATAATCCATCTCGAAGTGATATCATGCACTCTATAGCAATGTTAGTTGGTATAAAAGATTAAAATGTC